GTCGTTGGAGATACTTTACTTAAGCTCTTAATCTCAATGAATTTTCAATTTACTTAAAAAAGCACCAAGATTTTGAGTTATACTTTACTGGATCGAGTGAAGTGCGTGTATAAAAATGGTAAAGGTCCGATTTTCGTTGAATTCTCTAAATTTTGGAGAATTAAAAATGTTAAACATTTTTTCTGCATCTTCCTCCAACTACAATATTGAAGATAGAGATTTTTCTCATAAACCAAATCTGTTCTGAAAAGTCAAATATTTAAATGAGGTCATGTACAATATAATGTTTTGAAATATATACCTAGGTAATTTTGATGCAATTTTGCGTGAAATAAAGGCAAGTTTGAAAATAGAATTTAATTAAAACTGCCAACTTAGTTGATCTTAAGTGGCTCAGAGCATTAGATGATGTCACTCCAGTACTCTGGGAGATCCTAGAGTTTGAGTCCCGATGGTGGCAGTATTATCGATACTAGCTAGCTACATAGCTGGGTCGAATTCAGCCGCTGTCTGGAGGAGAATTCTAGTGGCCAGCTGCTCTGATCTGGAGGTTTTTCATGTGAAAAATGTTTTTCATGTTTTCCCACTGAAGATGGGAAAAGTGTTTTCCCATAAGTTGGCTCTAGGAATGTAATAATTAATAAAATTATTATACTTTGATTGTGGACAATTATTTCCTTTCTCACATTATGGATTACCACAAGATATCTGCTACCACCTCAGAACTTTTTTCATGAGTTTGTTAAGATGTAATTTCTAATTGTAAGTTGTGAAAGATATCAAGGTCATAAAGGATTTAATCTTCCCATTCACCATTTGTTCTATTTTAATACTCATTTTTCTCTTCACCAAACATACTTCATTCTCATACAAGGATGTTTGACAAATACAGTTGTTAGTGTAAATCTACATCATAATAATGAGAATTGGGTGTAGGAGTAAAGCTTTGATTCTGACACTTCTCGCAGATCATTAGAATGTGTCAGTCTAAGTCCAGAATCAAACATTATATAGCCGCAGTAATTGAAATGTACAAATACAATAAGTGCATAGATAGTAGTTTGCCGGAGAGAAAAATTATTGTTTTTCTGTTGAAACAATTTTCCTTTTTCATTTTCTTTGAAGTGGTTAGTCTTACTTCTAAATGTTTTGCCACTTTTCTTTCACTTCGTATTTGAAGAAATTACTGTTATCAATTACAAATGCAAGTCATCAGTATCAATATCAAAATTAAGGTTTGTGTTTGCAGAAATAATCAAATGCCATACAAAACTTTATTACCATAAGGTTCTTTGTTTTTTACATTTTGTTTCCATTTATGAAGATATGCAAGGATACATGCATAAATTGCAAACCACCCACACATCACAATCACATCATGACAATCTACATTGAAAATGCTCCACCAGTATGATAGGTAAATAACTGCTTATGTACCATATATTTTATCTACAGTACGCAACATACTGATATCGCTCTCCAAATTAACACTTATCTATATACAATACATCGATATAAATACCACAATG